GGCCACTACCCTTTATTCATTCCGAGGTTAATGAACTATTGCCACTCCGTGGGAAACTACGCGGAATGCTGCTACGTAGCTCTAAATTGTCTTTGCAATAAATCATTCCTGATTGATAGCAGAGAAACGAGGTGAAACTTTTCATATTATACTTCATGAAGCAAGGCGACACAAGTGGTCCTGATCATCAAATTGGATAGGGACTGAATCAACGGTTGCGAATTTTCATTCCCTTTCCAGAACATTGATATGAATCGCCAGTTACCCATCCATCGTTTTCTCCAACAGCCACCAGCATGACGCCTGAAATCAGCCCACCCACCATGGGACCGAGCAACGACACCGCGTCTGAGTCTCGAGGAACGGTGGCGAGGAGAGTGGGACCCTTCAGCTGTCCATAACAAACACTTAATCTCCAATCCGACTACATAACCCTCTGGCATGGACTTGACTCGCCTAGAATGGTCGAGATTGAACAGGATTCGAACAAGACAAGGACGCTGTGGCCACCTACTGCATTGCTGGAAGATGAAGTCCGACCCGCAGTGTGACTGCGGTCATGAAGATCAGACTATGCAGCCCATTTCTTCCGAAAGTTCGACGACAGAACAACTGAAGTCTGGAATGCTATTGCAGCGGCCGTTCACTGGCTTAGAAATCTTGACATTGAACTATGAAGTTGCTAGTCATTTGCTCCAGCCATACGACAGAGGAAGAATCCCCTTTCCTCCTTCTGTATTTCCTTCATCCAAGTGTCGCATCATTACCTGGAAGTTATGTTGTAAAAAATTTCGAAAGGTGAATCTGAACGGCATTGGACTTAACGCTGAGTGTCATTATCGATTGACCGAGAATTACTCAAGGAGGATAAGAGGCAAATAAGATCCGTACTTTTGATGAAAACCGAAATCGCCGTTACATTACAGACTGTAACGTGCAATTTGCCTCCAATCTGTAACTATAATCGCTGTTGCAAACTTTACGACATGCGTCACTGCTCTCTTGTTCGTTATTGTTCTAGGGGTCGTTTAAATTGGCTTTTAATTGGCTCCACCATATTTGAACCTCTGTAGTCCATGCATGCATTTTACATCATTCTATTGATTGGGACAATTGTCGTCTGACGCCATTGGAGTAATTTATGCGCAGTTGTGATTAAGTCGAGCTCTAATTGAATGGTTCCCCAAGAAGCTAGATGAAAGGGGCTCCGTAATGCACCGGAATACGTTTTTCGAACTGCTACCATATTTACGAGTGTGAACCGATATTTTTGGATGTTTCGAGGACGAGGAAGGAGACGGAAACATGACGAAGCGGCAGCGTTCGTCTTTCCTCCTAAATTGGCATTTGCAACTGCTTAAATTTCCCTTACTATAATTTTGATCATATCGTAGATTAATTAATTTAATGCAGATGAGCGTCTATCATCAATATATTAATATCGTTTAGTTACCTATTAGTTTAGAATTGATAAGCAGCGTTCATAGCTAAGGAATATGTGCTTCATCATACGTTGACTGTCTGTCGTGTAAGCTGGTCAACCGACGGCGGTTGACTGATATCACTGGTATTTCGTGCAGTCGATTTTTGCCGACTTCCGTTGCATGAACAATGTTTTCTGTATCTTATGGAAATACTACCACACCTGCGTGTTATTAATATAGACGTAATTTATGAACATTTTTCCACTGATGAACTTTGATCCGTCAGGAGCTTCAATATGTCTGTCACATACCTTCGTCAGGTGTTGTATTTGCTAGTTATAACTGACCCTTGCTGGTGCATTCAGCGGGTCGTAAGTACTATTTAAGGGTTTTACCTTGTTCATGCTGAAAAATCAGCTTTCATATGGGTTAAAGAAAAGTACTGTGCCAGAGACTTTCGCGTCACGCATCGTCACCGTCTATTCTGGCATGATTAACCAGAATTCACGTCGTCCCTGCTGTTCAGAAGTCAAGGAATTGCTACCCGCTTCTCAGCTGGTTGCGCCGAAGCAGCGAGGAATAAATTTCTAGTTCAAGGGTCAAGAAAAGAACGGTCAAGAAAATTTTTCCCTTTTCCGAGAGTCGAACCCGCCACCTCTGGGGTTCGTAGCCGACCTCTTCACCACTGCACTGCGCGCTCCACTTCTGTATTG